TTCTCCAGAAGGGAAACTTGTATTTCAGACCGCAGCAGGCCGCTCGCTGAGCGCAGTGAGATGGCTGGTGAGTGCTCCCTGCAGCTCAGGGGTGTCGGTGAACAGAGCAGCCAGTGTCCACCTTGGTTCCGGAGACTTTTGTAATCAGGAGACTGACTGGAGTAGGCCCTGCCTGGAAAGGGAAAGGATTTACCCCGTCTTCTTCTAGGCCTGCTGCAGGGCTTGAAGAGACTACAGGAAGTCTGGAAGAAGATGGAACAGCCCCTATCCCATTCCAGTCCCCTGAGTCCCAGAAGTGTGGCGAGGAGCCAGTAGTTCCCATGGATCCATGTGAAGGAGCAGGGCAGGAAGAGGTGGGAGGGGAGTGGAGGAGCAGCCACAAGGCCAGACAGTGGGACCTCTGGGTATGGGGACATGGACCCCTGGTGGAGCTGAGGAGAGGCAGCGGCTTTTTCTGAGTGGGTTCTTATATGGATAGAGGTCAGTGTCGCCTTAGAAAACCACACATGTTGGCCGGGCGCGGTGATTCATGCCTGTGTTCCCAGCACTTTGGGAGGCTGAGGCAGGTGGATTATCTGAGGCCAGGAGTTCAAGACTAGCGTGGCCAACATGGTGAAACCCCATCTCTACTAAAAATGCAAAACTTAGCCAGACATGGTGGCGGGCGCCTATAATCCCAGCTGCTCGGAAGGCTGAGGCAGGAGAATCACTTGAGCCTGGGAGGTGGAGGTTGCAGTGAGCCAGGATCACACCACTGCACTCCAGCCTGGGCGACAGAGCAAGACCCCGTCTCCAAAAACAAGAAAACCACACATGTCATGGGGCTGAAGTGACGCCAGGGCCTCTCCCTCCATCAGTATTCCTTCTCAGTTACCTGAGATGGTCTCTGCTGGCTTTGTTCCTCTCCCTGCCCACAATGCCAGGAAGCTGCACCTAAGGTGGGATTTGGTAGGGGGGTGAACAATAGGAACAGGCATCTCAGAGCCAAGTCAGTGACCTGTAAGCAGCTTGGATGTAGCCCTGGTCTACCCAAGTGTAGGCTGGGAGGAGAGCATTTATTCTTCCTTACCCTTACTATAGTGAGCTCAAAAGGTAAGTCATTGAGACAAACATTTGCTAGGTATTTCCACCATCTAACACATTTTTTTTTTTTTTTTAAGAGATGGGGTCTTACTCTGTCTTCCAGGTTGGAGTGCAGTGGTGTGATCATAGCTCACTGTAACCTCAGACTCCTGGGCTCAAGGGATCCAGTGGCCTCAGCCCTCAGCTTCTGGAGTAGCCAGGATTATAAGTGTGTGCCACCATGCCTGGCTAATTTTTTTTTTTTTAGTTTTTTAGAGATGGGGTCTTGCTATGTTGCCCAGGCTGGTCATAAACCCCTGGCCTCAAGTGATCCTTACATCTCAGCCTCCTAAGTACCTGGGATTACAGGAAGGAATCTATTCCTTGAACTATCTATTAGTTTATGAGCTATCAATGGCATTTTTTTTGTTTGTCAAAATCTTAACTCCCTTTCGTCATATAAGAAAGGAAACTTAAAAAGCAAAATTCAGACGAGGCTTAGAAATATAAGCTCAGCTGTAAATGCTTAGTAATAAGCATCACTTTAGTCCTCACTTGTTAGTCATTCACTTGCTCAGCAAAGGCACCAGGGATACCACATCTTGCCTCCATGGAGCTTACAGATTAGTTGGGGCCGGGAAGCAGGTTGAACACATGATTGTTAGACACATACACTCAGGAATCCGACAGACCTGCTGGTTCAAATGCCGGTTCTACTACTTGTTTGCCATGTGACCAGGAGCAACTTACTGAACCTACGTATCACTTTCCTTATCTGTAAAATCAGGATAATAACTGGACCTCCCTTGTGGGGTTGGTGTACACATTCCACGAGATAATCACGTACAGTCCTTAGCACAGTTTCAATACATAATATTGATTTTACTTGGGCTGGCAGCCTTTTTTCTTTCTTTTTTTTTTTTTTTAAAGACACAAGGTCCTAGTGTCTCAGTTTCCCAGGTGGAATATGGTGGGAATTCACAGATGTGATCATAGTGCACTACAGCCATGAACTCCTGGATTCAAGAGATCCTCCTGCCTCAGCTTCCCAAGTTGCTAGGACTACACAGGCATACGCCACCATGCCTGGCTCAGCCTTTTTAATTTTTATTTTGTCTTCTTTGGCGCACAGATTCTAGTGATTTCTTCTCAGTTATTTAGCAGTACCCATCAACATAGTAACTGCCCAAAAAGTTTGGAAACCACAACCAATAGTTACATGGTTTTCTCTTGTATGCCAAGTTGAGGATAGCTGGTCTCGGAGTAAACTGCATTTATTAGGACAACGCCAAGAAGAAAGAGAAGGTTAGACTATTAGAACTGATGGTGCGGCTGCCTGGGTCAAGCACTTTGGCAGGTACATGCTTTTGTAGTTTGTTTTGTTAGTAGAGCCGGCTACTACAGTGGGCAGTGTTCGCCTCCACACTGGGTGCTGCCAGCAAGAGTGCCAAGATAGCTATCAGTGTGGGAGGGCCGCCCATGTGCTGAAGCTCTGCATCCTTGGGTTTTGTGTTTTATTTTTGCCCCAGGCTGGGCAATTATAGACATGTTGTTGGAGTTTGTTGACAGAGAATTCTGTCGGCAACCCTTGTGAATTTATAGTACTTTAAAAGTTTAAGTTCAGTCCATCTGGACAGTGAGTCTCTGCTAGACTGAACACATATTCAGAGGACCCAGTTTGCCTAAACCTAGTCCTGACAGTGAAGAATAACCAAAGTAAATCTCAAGGCTGCAAAAATGCGGTGTCTTCAAATTCTGGGTACTATCTTTTTTTTTTTTTTTTTGAGACGGAGTCTTACTCTGTCTCCCAGGCTGGAGTGCAGTGGCGTGATTTCGGCTCACTGCAACCTCCACCCCTTTGGTTCAAGCGATTCTCCTGCCCCAGCCTCCTGAGTAGCTGAGATTACAGACACCTGCCACCACATCCAGCTAATTTGTGGGTACTAATTTTAAGGAATATATTAATGTGCAGTTAAGGAGTATTTGCTTTTTTTTTTTTAAAAAAAAACCAGACACACCACGCAGACTTGTCTCACCAAAATAAGTACTGGAAGAATGGAACATCTTTTGGAAAAGAGACATTTATTTTTCATTAACAGCCTGAATACTTTCCAATAACAAAGAATATGAATTATTTATAAAAGCTAGTAAAAGCAGTTGTAATCACCTGATGTTAAAACTAGTATGTACTGGTTTTCTTTTTATCTCAAGAGTCTTATAAAAATAAGCTAATATTCAGGGTTTTTGAATATAAGACACTAGTTTTCAGAGTGTTAAGAGTAATGTTAATTTATGAGACGTGAGGCTTGATATTATGGTAAATTTGCTTAAATGGATTGAATATTCACTTTGTCATGATGGATTTTCTAGTAATTAGTCCTTAGAACACTGTAACCAAAGGTCACAGAATATTTTTGTAATCAGTAATTATGTGTTACATAAGTACATGAACCAGGAATAGGTGGTAAAAGGTCTAAGAAAAAGTGCTTTGACAAACTACATGTCATCAATAAAGCCAAGAATTCAATGTGTGTAGGTTCCCAGATCTTGCAGTAAAACTGACCACACAGAAGAAAAAAAAATCTTGCCTTTATTTAAAACCAGTAGTTACAAATGGGCTTTTCTGTTTCTTGTTCCTTTTTTTACCTTATTGTTTATGTAAACATAGAACTTGCCATGCGAATAGTTTAAAATCTCACATTATCAGATAAGTATTCGTCAGCACTCCCTAATACATTTAGGTCCTTTTTTTTTTTTTTGACTGGAATCTCGCTCTTGTTGCCCAGGCTGGAGTGCAATGGCGCAATCTCAGCTCACCGCAACCTCTGCCTCCTGGGTTCAAGTGACTCCCCTGCCTCAGACTCCCGAGTAGCTGGGATTATAGGTACCCACCACCACTCCCAGCTAGTTTTTGTATTTTCAGTAGAGACGAGGTTTCACCATGTTGGCCAGGCTGGTCTCAAACTCCTGACTCCAGGTGATCCACCTGCCTTGTCCTCTGAAAGTTTGGGATTACAGGTGTGAGCCACTGTGCCTGGCCTTAGGTGTTTTTTAAAAAATATATTCAAAACAAATCAGAAATTTCTTGCAAAGAAAGGTAAATGGGTTTACCATCGGCTTACTGAACCAAATCTTGTGCCTTGCTTTCCCTTGGTTCCTTAGAGGAAATGTAGATTTTACAAATATATATGTTTGAAATTTTTTTTATATTTGAGTTTTTTAAAAGATGGGGTCTTGCTATGTTGTCTGGGCTGGTCTTGAACTCCTGGGTCCAAGATGCTCCCAAGAGGCTGGGACTACAGGAGCGTGCTTACTGCACTTGGAAATGTAGTTTCTTGTCACTAAAATTCTAAATTCATTTCTTTATTATGTTTGTAGTCTGTGGTTAACAGACTTTTAATTAAAGGCAGTTCTTACTGCTTGAATGAGGCTTCTGGGTTGACAGTGGATGGTTCCCCAGGAGGAAGGTTAGTGGAGAGATCCAGGGCTCCCCAGCGCACAGGAGAAACACATTTGCATTTGCACTGAATCCCACTTTTCCTGCAGCAAGTGTGTGGGTGATACAGCCTTGTCTCTTTCCCCACTGCTTATGGCTAATCCAAAGGTTTACTTGGATGGGCCTGGCAAAGATGCTCTGATCCCTTTGTGGGTCCAGGCGATGACACTGTGTGGGGAGCCTGAAACCACAGGGCAGGTTGAGGGGTTGGGGTAGCAGGAAAGGACTGAGAGAGAAACAGGCACATACCACCACACCCAGGTTTTTTTTTTTTTTTTGGTTAAAAAAAAAAACTCCCTTCTTTTCTCTGACTTCATGACTTAGATAGCTTGTCTTTTTTTTTGCCTTAGAAGATTTATTATTTTACATTCCTATATCTTGTTTTGGTAGAATTTAAGAGACAGTGTGTATGTGCTCTTCTCAGAGACATCCTATTTTATAGGCAAACTCAGACTGTCACAGTGAACCCAATCAGGAGGAGGTCTTCTTCAAGGATGTCTCTGGTAAGAAACAAGGAAAATATGATTGCTTTTATATTTCAGTGATGTTTTTCCTTAATAAAATATGCTTTTAATGCTGTTAATTTTGAGTTTGAACCATAAAGTGTATTGATCTTTCATCATTTTTAACCAAAGAAATGGTGATTTTTTTTCCCATAGGTCCAATCTAGTATTTATATTATTATATTATGCATATTTGAATATTAGGTCTGACCTTAATATTAAGAACTTAGACTGTTGGCCAAGAGTAATCCTAAGTTGGTATATATTTAAAATATTAGATGACTTTAATAAGATTGATTATAATACATATAAGCTTCTTATGTTCAAATGTTTATACAAGGAAATCTGTATCTATTCCTTCTTCCTCTTAGCTTTTTAGATGCAGATTTTCTTGTGGAGCCTAATATCCTTGGTATCAGTCATAGGGCTTGGCATTGCCATTTGGGGAAACATAGAAAATGCTAGATATGATAAGAACTACTGTGTCTTCATGTTTATTTTCCATATATAATATATTTAATTCCTTCAGAAGTTTTTTTTTAACAGAAAGAATCCAGTGGATAATAACTTTACCTGTATTACATAAGCAATGTGTTTTAACCCTGTGTCCAACTCTCCATTTCTTAGCCTAAACCCCAGCCCTACGTGATGCCTCCCCCACCACAGCTACACTATAATGGACATTATACAGAACCATATGCTTCTTCCCAAGGTAAAGTACATTGTTTCTGCCATGCCTTACATAGTTATTACTATGGATAAATCTGTGAATGCTTGGAGATTGTGAAGCCTGGACAGTTTTTGGCTGAAGTTGCACCCCAAATTGCATCATGATAATAGCTATCCTGGATTCATAAAAGAAGCCAATATATTCAGTTTTTTTTGTTTGTTTGTTTGTTTTTTTTTTGAGACAAAGTCTCAATCTGTCACCCAGGCTAGAGTGCAGTGGCGTGTCTCAGCTGACTGCAACATCCACCTACCAGATTCAAGCGATTCTGGTGCCTCAGCTTCCCAAGTAGCTGGGACTACAGGTGCGCCACCATGCCTGGCTAATTTTTGTAATTTTTAGTAGAGATGGGATTTCGCCATGTTGGCCAGACTGGTCTCAAACTCCTGACCTCAGGTGATCCGCCCCCCCTCAGCCTCCCAGATTGCTGGGATTACAGGTGTGAGCCACCGCATATATTTGGGTTCTTGAATATATGTAAAAAAATGCAGTATCAAATTTTGATGCTCCACTGATCTCAAATTTGGCCAATGGGAAACTATCAAGCTAGTTCCTATGTCCTTTTACCACCACTCTATTAGCCTTTAAGTGCTTCTTTACTGTCTGACAAAGAATTCCCAGGGTTACTTTTCTTCCCCTGCCAGAGGCTTTCCTATTGTAAAAGTTAAACATGTGACTACTGCAGTTTTCACTTGAGAAGTATAAGGAATTGTATTTGTAACAAACTCCCAAACTGAAGTTTAAGCAGTGGGGCTATACCAAATGCTAAGGAGGTTTATGCAGATGAGTATTTCCACATCTTAAGAAGCTTATCTTCAGCCTGGGCCACAGGGCCAGACCCAGTCTCTATCAAAAACAAACAAACAAACAAACAAAAAAAGCTGGGCCTGGTGGTATGCACCTGTGGTCCTGGCTACTCAGGAGGCTGAGGTGGGAGAATTACTTAAGCCCAAGGTGGGGGTGGAGGTTACAGTGAGCCAAGACTGCACCACTGCACTCCAGCCTGGATGATAGAGGGAGACTATCTCAAATAAAATAAAAAATAAAAAAAAAAAACTTAGAATCTGATAGTTGAAGATAAGACAGGTGCACAAATAACTTTGTCTTTCTCCCCCTGAACCCCTTTTTGTGGAGAATGGGGTCTTGCTATATTGTTCAGGCTGGTCTCAATCTCCTGGGCCCAGGCTGTCCTCCTGCCTCTGCCTTTCTAAGTGCTGGGATTATAGGCCTGAGCCACCACTCCTGGCACAAATAACTTGAATATGATAGTTTTTCTGAGACAGCATGTGCAATTACCATGCTTCTCAACGGAAGAGAGACTCATCACATTGGGGAGATTGAGAAGAACTTTCTGTATCTGAAAAGATGGGTGGATTTCGGCAGGTAGAAAGACAGGGACTTGACTGGGGTTGCTGTTCCTAGTTTTGGGGATAGTGAACGCCATGCACAGAATGAAGCAGTGCGTGTTTGGAGAGTAGAGTGGTCCAGGTTCCCTCTTGGGTAAGGAACTAGTAGGGAGTGATGCATGAAGGGACCAGAAGGTGGGATGTGACTATTGTTTGTGGCGGCCCTGGTGTAAAGATGAGCGTTTTCATGCAGTGAGGTGGGTAGTAGGGAGCAGGGCTTTGGATGTAGAGCCCGAGAGTGGCCCCCTTACCATGTTCTTCTATTTCCTCCCTCTCGCGCCCTGCCCTTGTCTGGTACTTGCAATCCTGTCCCCTCCCACTTCCAGGACCTGGCTGTCCTCTGCATTGTCTCATTTCGCCATTCATTCTCTTTCCTCCGTCTATAAACATCCTAACATTGTTTGTTCTCCTCGCTTTAAGTGATGGTTTGAGCGATCTGCTTTCCTTTCTCACTGACTTCTTTTTTTTTGAGACAGAGTCTCGCTCTGTCACCCAGGCTGGAGTGCAGTAGTGGGGTCTCGGCTCACTGCAAGCTCCGCCTCCCAGGTTCACACCGTTTTCCTGCCTCAGCCTCCCGAGTAGCTGGGACTACAGGCCCCCGCCACCACACCCGGCTATTTTTTTATATTTTTAGTAGAGACGGGGTTTCACCGTGTTAGCCAGGGTGGTCTCGATCTCCTGACCTCGTGATCCGCCCACTTCAGCCTCCCAAAGTGCTGGGATTACAGGTGTGAGCCACCGCGCCCGTCCTTTCTCACTGACTTCTAAGAGTACTCTCTGTGTGCTGCTTCTGCTTGCTGGTTACCGCCCACTCCTCTGCTTTTGCCACTCTGTTAAAGCGGCCCTCTCCAAGGCTCCCAGCACCCCCACATCACCATCACGTTCAAGCCTTTGTACCTTCTGGAAACTCTCCTTCTGGCATGCTGGGTTTTTCCCTCCTCCTTCCCATCAGTATTGTTTGGTGTGCCCTGCAGGTCTGTCCTGTGGCTTCTTCCCTCCCTCTGTGAGCTTCCCAGGGGTCTCATCCACATTTAACTTTTCTTTTTTTCTTTTCTTTTCTTTTCTTTTCTTTTCTTTTCTTTTCTTTTCTTTTTGGAGACAGAGTTTCGCTTATATTGCCCAGGCTAGAGTGCAGTGGTGTGATTTTAGCTCACTGCAACCTCTACCTCCTGGGTTCCAGTGATTTTCCTGCCCCAGCCGCCCAAGTAGCTGGGATTACAGGCACGCCACCACGCCCAGCTAATTTTGTATTTTTAGTAGAGATGGGGTTTCTCTATGTTGGTCAGGCTGGTCTTGAACTCCCAACCTCAGGTGATCTGCCCGCCTCACCTCCCAAAGTGCTGGTGTTACAGGCATGAGCCACCGCCCCCGGCTACAGGATCATTCTTTTGCCTAGTGTTCGAGACTTCACACAATATTCACTGAGCCTGCTCTTCCAACCTTACTTCCTAAGTTATTTTACTCCTCTGTAGCTATCTGACACTCCAGCCACCCCATCTTGCCCGGGGGTGCTCCCTGGCTTTGCCAGTGCTGCTCTGCACCCCCAGGTGCCCTTACCTCATGCACCCTTCTGTTCACATACCATCCAGACCGGATAGGCAGGGCTATGCTGTGCTGAGAAAATATTCTATTCCAAACTCTCAGGGAAGTAATAGTAAGGGTCACCTGTCCATTGCACACTGCACTAGCAGGAGGGCTCTGCCCCCTGTGAGTCTGCGGTAGGAGCTTGAGCTGGAGAGCCTCTTCTCTCTGCAGTGTTGTTTGTTGGTCAGTGTTGCAGTTGGAAGAGAGCCTGGAAGCTGGCTTTTAACTCTCTGTACACTTTCCCTTGACCATTACTAGTCACATTGCTGTGCCTGGTATCAAGGGGTGAGGAGGCATAATCCTGCCTGCTCTGAGAGGTTGAGAGACCTCACTTCTGATGGAAGCTGGACATGCCCACCTCACCCACTTACCCCTCAAGTCCCCTTAACTGCCATATCTTCTGCGAGGTGGTTCTTGGTTCTCTCTTCCTTGTCCCCATCAACCCCACCCAGGCTGGAAATGACCATTCCTTCCTCTGGACTCCTGTAACCCTGTATCTCTTCTCCCTTCCTTGAATTAATGGTGATTTCATGCATACCTTTCCCCTTTACTTGCCTGTATTCCAACCGTCTTTTTCCCCTTCTATTCTCAGTATTGCCTTTTCCACATAACAGTCCCATAAATGGCTAGATGGTTTGTGGGGTGCAGAAGCAGGGAGACTAGGTGACTATAGAGCTAGTTCAGACAAGCCTGGGGTAGGGGTCCGAGCTGTGACAGCAGTGAGAAAAGTGGGATTGCAGAGATGGAGCCACGACCAAGCTTTGCATAGACAAGGAAAGCACAGTGACAAGGAAGTGCTGTGTGTCAGCAGAAGAATACCATGGAGGTTTGAATGCTATTTCCTCACAGCCTTATGTGCCACCAGAATAAAGTGTACCAACCGGATTGTGGCATATTAAGTATCACTTAAATCACTATGGAGATTTTGAAGCACAAATAATGCCTTTCAGAGGAAATTGTTATTTGAAGGAGTTGGCTGCTGAGTGTTAGAAATCATCTAGGGTTAGAAATCATCCTCAGTAACAGAAGGCAGGTGAGCTACAAATTGACTAGAAGAAACATGACCCCTGTCATCCCTGGGCAGGAACACATGCATAGCTATTGTAAGATTAGGTTAAACTGATTCTGTTAGCCGCAGGTCTGGATCTTCCTGAAACATGGGAGCCAGGGCAGGGGGCAGCTGCAGCTGTTTTAATGTGACTCCTCTTGGCTCTGGACACTTTATGGGCTGTGTGGCTGCTGGTGACACTGTTGGACCAGAGAAGCTCAGATCCTGCTATACCATTACCCTTTTACAGTCGAAGCTTGTGTATTCATTTGGGAAGAACAATCAAAAATTCCAGTTAAGGAAATGCTTACAGACAGTCGGTGCTTGAACTGGCTCAGCAGCAGCAAGGCCACATCCCTACCCAGGGAACAAAAGAGTCCCCAGCCCAGTGCCTTAAATGGTATCTCTGCCTCAACTTCCCCAGAGTACCAAAAAGTCTGCTAGTCTGCTGTGTGTGTGGTTTAAGACAGGGTCTTACTTTGTCACCCAATGAATGCCACCCCTTAAGTAGGCAGAGCCATCCCCATCCTATAGATGAGGAAGCCAAAGCTCCCAGGGTCACTCAGATAGTGTGGCTAAAGCTAGGTCATTTTAGCATGGATTTTTACAAGCTGTGTTCAAATGTCCTCAGAGGTAAGGGCCGATCTCAATATTTGGTTGGAGTAATTAGTCCAATTAAAAAAAATCTCATTTTGAACTTATTCTTTTTCTAGATAACCTCTTTGTGCCCAACCAGAACGGATACTACTGTCACTCTCAGACAAGCTTGGATAGAGCCCAGATTGACCTCAATGGTCGAATTCGTAACGGCAGTGTCTACAGCGCACACAGCACCAACTCCTTAAATAATCCTCAGCCCTACTTGCAGCCCTCGCCGATGTCGTCCAACCCAAGCATCACCGGGAGTGACGTCATGAGGCCTGACTACGTCCCATCCCATCGGCACAGCGCCCTGATACCCCCGTCCTACCGCCCCACCCCAGACTATGAGACTGTGATGAAGCAGCTCAACAGGGGCCTGGTGCATGCGGAACGGCAGAGCCACTCGCTGCGAAACCTCAACATCGGCAGCTCGTACGCCTACAGCAGGCCCGCGGCGCTGGTCTACAGCCAGCCCGAGATCCGCGAGCACGCGCAGCTCCCCTCACCG